ACTACACTACAGAAAGTTCAAAAATGTTTCTTAAGCGTTATTGTTATGGAAAAAAAGACGCTGTTCTAGCCTAAAGCATATAGAGATTTAAATAAATGTTATTTGTCAGGCTTGCAGCACCATCCTTTAGCCATGTGTAAAGAAAATATTATATTTGACCTATTTTTCGCAAAGATTTTAAACAAGAAAACTACAAAAATATACGGATTCGTCATCTCCACGTGTTAAAGACTAAGTTACCACGCAAGGTATAATCTATTTCCGTTGTTGCTAGGAGCCAGTCAATTTTCTTGTTCTCCGCAGGTATGCAATAAATGAAAACAACAACAACAACAGTCATCCATTTAAGATGAACGTTTTACACCACCACCCTTAAGAACGAAACAATGGTTTCTGTTTGGTAAAAACTGTTCAGTTGCTTATAATTTTTATATCTAGATTACTTACTTAACTGCCGAATACTAGAGGTTTCAAATCCAACACAAAAAAATCACATTGAAAAACCTCTTTCCAGTACCAATCTAACGTGATTTAATATTACAATACATATGTAAATACACTGTACAATAGGATTCCTGCAGGCATCATAACAAATTACAAGTTGTAGTATAGATACACGGATATTTTCACTGAATGACGTCACCTCTTCCAGACAAATTTGTATTCAGTTTGATTTACAAAATTTGAGATAACAGATTTTCATTAGCCGTTACATCTTACGAACATGCAGCGTTGTAATGTTATTACAATGAAGTAAGAGGCAAATTAAAAGTGGGGGAGGATTTGACCGAACGAAGCGAGGGTTTGTTTGTTTTGAATTTGCGCAAAGCTACACGAGGGCTATCTGCGCTAGCCGTCCCTAATTTAGCAGTGTAAGACGAGAGGGAAGGCAGCTAGTCATCACCACCCACCGCCAACTCTTTTACCAACGAATAGTGGGATTGACCGATTGGCTGAAAGGGCGAGCATGTTTGGTGTGACGGGGATTCGAACCCGCAGATTACGAGTCGATCGCCCTAACCACCTGGCCTATGAAGCGAGGGAACGTGCGACACAGGCGCACTTATTACGGTTGGAATTCTGGGCTCGTCTTAGGGCCCTGGGAAACTCTTGGGTTCTGGATTAAATTTTATGCATTATCCTGCTTTTCCTGAGAATAATTTTCCTAATTTTTACTGGAACAGATTGAAAAGTGGGGAGCACCCCCCCCCCCGCTTACTACGCCACTGTATCACATGTATGTGTGTATACAGAAAAACACACGATTATATTTGTGAACAAATTAGCATCTTTCCTACAACAGTTTTTTTTAAACTATCTAGTGATACACGATTGATGATGTCATCGTTAGGACTATCTAGTGGTACGCCATTGATAATGTCATCGTTAGGACTATCTAGTG